CCTTTTTGCTGGGGGTGGGATTCAGAGATGGAGGAAGGGGTAACGTTTGAGTGTGGGTGTTTAGTGATTGGACAAAAGAACATCCCCTCCAACCTGGAGTTGGTCAGGGTGATATACTTCTAGCCAATCAGGGACTGGCTTATATTTCTCAATCCTCTATGACTCCTACAGAAATTTAGAATTTAATTTCATAAATGTTAAAATTTAGCAAATCACTTTGCTTTCTCCTATATTTTTGTCTAACATACTGAGTTGCTAAGTTGAGTCCCCTAATATTGCAAGACCTGGGGCAGCTGCCCTTCCTGTCCCCCTCTGATTGGCACTATATATATTACACACACACACACATATATATATATTATACATATAATAATGAACACACATACATACAATAATGAACACCAAACATTTGCATTTTTATTATCTTTTATAACTTTGTATTCCTTATTTGTGATTTCATTTGTACATAAAAATGTTTTTTCTTCCTATTTTCTCCCTGTATTGTTTTTTTCCATAACTGTATACCTACTTTTGCACCCCCCTCTGTATATTAAAATTATTTATATTACATATTTTTTTTTAATATTCTTAAACTAACATTTATATTCAGTACTATCTCCAGCTGTTACCTGGTTCCTGAAAAATTATTGTTAAAATCTGTTGTAAAATAAATTAATTGCTGATATGCTCAGTCATAAATTGGAGATTTTATGTATTTTGAATTGTACAGGGTGTCCATAAAGTCCATGTACAATTTAAAAAACAACAACTCAAAGAACATAAATACACAATTCATAAAAATCTCAATAATACAACACTGGCAGCTTACTCACATCAAGACATACAAGTACAGTGGGAGCAGGCAACCATCATCAGATCCACATCTAATATACACGCTAAGGGATATCTAGAAAAATTGCAAGTTTTTAAAGCTCTCAAAAAATCCGGATGAATCAACCATGGAGATGCAGACAGCTTGTCTACCGCAGAGTGGTCCTTTTATGAAATTTAATTTTATTAAGGAATATTTATTTGTTTATTTTTTATTTTATTTTTGTAGTTATTTTTATTAATCTCAACTATGATTTCTGTCAATTATTTATTTATTTCAGAATTCTTGTTCTCATTATTAAATTTTTGTATTCACATTCTATTTTTCTGTTCTATCATAACTGAAGAAGGTCAGTGAAGCTGGTCAAAAATGTTATTTGATTAAATTCATTGTTGGATTTTTTAAAAGATGTAATTTATTAGTGATCTCTGATAGCATTTAACCTGCAATGGCACATAATGCACAGAAAATTGTAACAAAAAATCTTTTGCGTAATCTTCTCTAATGCATATCTAAGTCTGTGGGAGCATCTGTCGATAGACGAGAATTTGTAATTGCAATTTAAAATCAGCGTATCGATCATCCCATCACATAACCCTCATCACCATACAAACTGTCTTTTAAACATTAACCACATGTAGAATTAAAAAGGCACAAAAATAGTAATCAAAAACTTATCTAATAAGCACTTTTGCTTAATTATTCAAAACTTTGTCAGGCATAAAATCACATTTAAACAGAATCCCAGAGCATTTCCCTTTTCTTATGCAATGGTTTGTTCAACAAAAAGATTTCTGTATAAAAACTTTCCTTTTTTCCAACTAGGGGAGGGTTTCGGACATCAAAGCTATAAAGTTAAGTTGTTTTTATTAATAATAACGTAAAACAAAAGCGTATGAAAATCGAGACCGAAGGAATTTTACGTACAGGGAAAACAAAACCGAAACCGCGAGACGGGCCACCTCGGTCACGTGATAGACACAAGTTTCGGTTTCGACGAGGACGTTTATGACAACTCTCATTTTATTTACGCAGAATTCGTAATTACGTAGACAAAAAAGGGGGGTTTATTCAACATTACTAATGTATTATAACTTACTTCATTTAAAAATACAAAAATATTCCTAATTTACGTAAAAATCTAATTCTTTTCGTTAATATTATTCTCACTTCTACTTAATGTTTATTTTTAAAATTAACCCTTAAAAAGAATTACTTACATCTCTGTTCTCATTTAATTAATAAGCTAAAATATCTTCTGTAAACTTCGCATTTAAGCCAGACGACTTCTATCACTATTACCGCCATTAACACCCAATAACTTCTGCGGCGGAGATTATATCAAATTTAACCAATCGCTGCGTGACAGACTACTATTACGTAAGAGACACGTAAGAAAACATTCTGTCACGTGTTGCTTTGTTCATTTGTGTAATTACAGAATTTCAATCTTATTTTATAAAATTATTTATTTAAATACTGTATGTATATTTATGATACGTATATGCAAACGCATTGAATATGGTTTATTATTTTTCATTTATTTTTTCTTCTTTCGTAAGCAGACGATAATTTATTTCTTATAACTCTCACTACGAAGTAATGGCGCTAATAGTATAATAGTGACTAAAAATAAATATTTTATTCTTTTTATATAATTTTTAATTTATAAAAGTTATTTTTATCAATAAAATATTTTAATCTTTTAGATTTATATTTGTATAGCATTCGAACTAGTTTTATATCTATACCAAACTATGATTTAATTATTATTATATTGCTTTCTTCCCTCTTTCTCCCCTGTGAGAACTAAAAAGGCGTTTTTTAGCAAATCCTTTATAGATTCTCACAGTTCTACACTGGAACGGCTGGGTTGTGAGGGACAAGCCCGACATATTCGAAACGGACCGACCCTCGAAAAATTCCCGGGGGTTTTCAATCTGACCGGATACGTTCATGGACCTCCAGGCCATCTTCCCGTTTCTAAATTAAATTTATTGAGAGATATCTTTTAGATGAAAAAAATAACTGAGTTTATTTAGCATAAAATTACATTAAATAAATTTTTTATATGTTAAATTTTTGGAATTTACTGTTCGGAACATTAGGTCAATGACAATGAAAGTAAAGCGACTTTTTAATATAGTTTGATAAGCAAGCCAATAACAAAGCTGATTTCATTTAAAACAGGCTTTGTCAATGGCTTGCTTATCTAACTGTATTATAGCGGTTTAAATTTCTCTCCAATTGCACTATAGCATAACAAAACAATCAAACATCCTTTATCGGTTTTTTCCACCTTTACGTAAATTAACAGAATTTTATCAGGAAGAACTCCAAAAAAAGTTTAATTTCGTCACAAATGAAGTTATCTTTTATTGTGTAGGCAATGATTATTTCAGGCTATCTTGTTCTCCATTCCATTTTTTCTAAATATTGAATGATGAAATATTGTGTGTTGAAATAAATGTGCTCAAACCTCAGCGTTCTGCAAGTTGAATCAATAAGTCTTGAATAAGAGCATAATTCATTCTAGCACGAACAAACCATTTTCAAATAAATTCATTGGCTTTTACAGAAGAGCATTTCACTTTTACCCTGTATCTCTCTTTAATTAATAAAGTTTGTCGTGGACACAACCACTAAACACTTGTTCGTGGGTTCGGCTGACCACATGGAGTTTTTCGGATATTTTTCACGTATTTAACACTTAAAAAGAAAATTAAAAAAGTTCCGGGAACAAATTCATCAGAGTTGGATTGTTGTTGAGATCTGGAAGTAGAAATAACTTCTATCAGTCTTTCTCCAGGATGAGTGATGAAATTTTCTTTTCCTTTATTTCCGTTCTAAAATGATTCGACAGGTCCTGATAGAACGATTTAAGGTACCGAGTTAACGTAGTAGAGCATCCAGTATCGAATCCGCGAGGTTGAAAAATATGATAAATTTTTTACGATACCGGATAAGTCGAGCCCAGTACCTTACCATCCAGTTAGCTATTTGGCCGAGCGGTTAAGGTGACTTCCTACTGCTCTGGGGGACCCTGGATAGAATCCTGGAATTCTCATTTCAGAATGGTCTGTTCTAATATGTCGGGTTCCGTCCCTCACCATCCGGTCGCCCCCATTGTGGGCCTGGTCGAATCCATACTAGGCTTGTTTAAAAGAGGCCCTCTTAACGCCACAGGGCAAAAAGAGTTTTTAATTTAAAAAATTTCGGTTACTCTTATTGTGAGCCTTGACAAGCTAACGATGTGTACAGAAAAAAGGCCCTCTTAGTGCCCACATGATAAAAGAGATTTACTTAAAATATTATGGAATGCTTCAGAAAGTTTCTTTTGGATTTAAGTAATGAATGATTCCTCTTAATTTACGCTATTGATTCAAGAGATTTTTGCATTTTCCGAAGGCGGGAAATAAGTTATTTCAAACATAAGATAATAGGAGTTTAGATTCAAAATAATAACTGTAACGAAGTAATATCGGAAAAATCGAAAAAAGAGAAAAATAAGTTTTATTTCGCTATGAGATTTAAAATTATTTACTGAATATATAAAAAGATTATTGGAAAAAGCCAGGTCGTTATCGCGGGTAGTTACAAGTTTATATACGAAAAAGTTATAAAAACATTAATAAAAAATACATGATTTTTTAAAAGCTATTTTCTCCCTCTAGATGTTAAGGTTTCTTCAGCAAGCCCCTTATGGATTCGGCTAGGCCCACAATAGAGAGGCCAAGCGGTGAGAGAGGGAGACCGATGTATCCAGACGAACAACCCCGAAAAATTCCCTGGTGTTTTCCTACTCTTTCGGATTTAGTCCCGGGCCCGCAGAGCGGCAAGCTACCATTTTAACCATCCGGCCATCCGATAGTACCCGGGATCCGTAAAGATGAATAAGAAAACTAATAAATATTTTATAAAATAACATCAACGGATAATAAAATTCATTAGCCAAGGTCGTTTGAAGACTACGAAATTTGGCGGGAAAAGTTACACTAATTTGACGCCGAACAAAGCAAGAACATTTTATTTCAAAAAATCATCAACACTAAAATTTTTAATCGATTTAAATTCTATTACGATTATTACGTATAATGCGGTATTTAAAAATGTTTATATTTAATTAATATTTACTAATTAAAATAATAAATAAATAGATAGAATATTTGAAAAATTCGAATCGTCTGGCAACCTGACGAAGACCAATCAAATCGTTGTTCGTTAGTAAAGGCGCGCTTGGTTCTTTTCATACCTCGTTCGGAATATTCATTCAATATAAAGATGGTAAGTTAAACGTTATTTGGATGGCGTATACGTTAAGAATATGCTAAATAATTAATATTATGTCTAGGCTGGCGGTAAAGCAGGCAAAGATTCGGGTAAATCCAAAGCTAAAGCCATATCCAGATCGGCAAGGGCAGGATTGCAGGTAGGCCTAATTCATTCTTTTGTTCGCTATCTCCCGCTTTCATTTGAATTTTCTCCTCTTCCTCTCTTTAATTTAAACTTCAAATAATTAATAAATTAATCTATAATTGTAATTAAAATGGATTCGTATACGTCGCAGTTTAATATAATTCACAAATAAAATATAATTTTTTATAACTTGGATGCGTAATTTGTGTTTATTTTGCTGTTTTTAAGGTCATTTTGACCATTTATCAATGCTCTGAAGGTAATATTCAATTGTAATTAATTAAAAAAATAATAAAATATATAATAATTTGCCATTATTTTTTTAATAGTTGTTTAGTTTAACTCCTAATAAATATTTGGCAAATTTATTGAAGCTGTAGTATATGAATTATAGCAGTAATTGAATGAAATATCAAAATGTAATTTATTATTATTTATTGTTTTTATGCAACCGTGCTGCACGCCTTAAATAAATTTCCTTGGAGTTTTGAACTGAGAACTGTCCCGTTCTGTACTTTTGCTTGTCCGCTCGGCTTATTGTTCTTTGAGTGCCGACGGAGGCGTCGAAGCTTTTTTATTATGGGAGAAAAGAAGTCGGGACTTTGTTTTAAGCGTGTGGGAATACGGGTTTAATGATCTGTGCTTAAGTTGGAAATTAATGCATTTGTCCTTATTTTTTACCGAAATTGTTTGGTGGAATTAATAATTTGTTGTGTTTGGAAGAATAGTGATTACTTAGAAGTGAAGTCTATTTTGTTTATTACTTTTTTGTTTATTGTTAACTATTTTTTTAAACTATTTTGTTTATTGTTAAATTAACATTTCATTATAAAGTTATGCAGATTATTATAAATATTGTTTTTGTTTCAAAAGAATTGAAAATTCTTAATTTTATAAAATAGATCTTGAATTTAATTTATAAGAGAAAAAAATGGAAAAGGGGTCATCTAAATTTTTTTTATTAAAGTAAATTGGTAAATGATTAAAAGATATCAGTTCTACTATAATTTTACAAAAATCTATATTTTTGAATANGGTATCAGTTATACTATAATTTTACAAAAATCTATATTTTTGAATAAAAATATTATTGCAAAAATTTTCTAATATGAAATAAATTAAAAGAATAGCATTGCAGAAAAATAGTCATATGCACAATAGCTTATTGTACTTGTATATATTATTACTAATTATCTAATGTTGGAAGTAGCACATCCCAAAATGAGTTACAATACATTTATAATACCTTGGTTACTGTAATAGTGCTGACTGTGGTTGTCATTATTTTTGAGTAAATAGGATTTTGTACGTTATTAGTGTTAATGTTTAGTTGAAAATGCTTAATTTTTATCAGTTTTTACCAGTGTTTTAAATATTTGTTTTAATAGTTTGCTTCTGAAAAAGTAGTAAAAATTGATGGCATTTCTCAATTCAGTAATGTATGGAATAAGTGGTAATGAATTATACAAGTCTGCAAATTTTAACTAATAAAATACTGTTCGGACTCTGAGATGTGATTTTTTACTAACTAAAAATGATCTCTTAAATGTTTCCATCAAGTGACATTTTGATACAAAGATTTTTTATAAATTTTTGATAAAACTTTTGTAAAGCATATTATATACATATGTATAATAGTGTTTTAATTTATTTTAATGCAGGAAAGATTACCAATTTCAGTTTATTATTAACATATGTTGTATTTTTGTACCCATATAAGCCATTAATTAGCTTTGTTGCTTATCAGTTATGATTTTTTTTTGCCCTAAAACTGTTTCATGGGCCTTCTCTTATGTTCTGCATTTGGAATGTCCCTATGCATAATCCAACAGTAATCTGCCATTATTACTGACTTTCCATTTCCTTATTGTCCTGATGGAATCTTTCACCCTGGGTGCGTTCATTAATAGCGGTCGCTCTGCATCTCTGCTACTACAAGAGTGCTCTGCTGTTTGTAGGCATTTAGGAATGACGGTGAAAGAAAGAAAGATGGCGGTGCCCGCACTATCGATAGTACCATGATGGAGGAATCTATAATTCTAAAACATGAGCTTTTAAAGGCAAAAGAAGGGTCCGAATTGTAAAATTTAATCATAAAATGGATTATTTGTTAAAAGAGCGTTCAAAATAGCCACCAAAAAAAAAAAATAGAAGGCCAGCTATCATTTGAAAAAAATTCAAAAAGACATTTACATCATCGCGCGGACTAACTTGCGCTTTCACAACTTCTAAATTTTTATTCATAAGACCACATAATGGGAACCTGAAACGAAACTATCTGAGCCATGGAAGATGCCGTGTTGCTTTCCACCATAAACTATTGCTACAAGTGGCCGTTTTTGCCATTCAACAGCACGCACTCCTACCGGAATTTAAGAACGTGTTCCACTGGATTTTTTAAACAGATGTCGTTTGCACGGAGTTACATGGAGGAATAAAAGAACACACCCTGTTTTTCACTTACAGCCCCTAGATTTTCAGGAAAGTAATTCAAGTGTGAGGTTTAGAAAGTGTGCCTTGAGGCTCATATTGCAGCCCAGTTCATGGTACTTAATTAACAATTTCTCTACTATTTCTTTATAATTGGGATCTTTATTGTTTCCTAGAAACTTTGAAACTAGTGCCTTAAATGCAATCCAGACATCCTGTTCTTTTCCATTCATTGCAGAAAAGTTCTATCTGATATTAATTTCCTTATCAGGTCCTGTAAATAGACCTTTTAGTTTTGCTTTGTATAAGGCTATTTATGCAAAAAGCAGTCTCCATTCTTTGGTAAAGCCTTTATGAAGTATTTCATTAGTCCCAGCTTAATTTAATATGCAGAGATGGCAGCAGCACTTTCTCTGGGTTCACCAAGCTGTTTTTCACAATATTTTTTATGCCAGATTGTAATTGTTTTCTAGGTGGCCATTACTTCTGAACCCAATTCCTGGCTCTACTGTCTCATTCACAGAGAAAACATGGAAACTTGGCATTACTTGACTGCTGACCTAATAACATGCATGCACAGTAATTTCAAATCTCCACAGATAAGCCACTGGTGTATATCATAACTATCTTTTTTAGAACAGTTTCCAAGTTTTCTTATGTTTTCTCCAGATGCACAGTATATGGGTGTGAATATGTCACTAATATAGGCATGAAATATGTGAAGAAAGCATCAGTTTAGCCAAAAAAAAGATGGGGTTTTGTAGACAATTCTTACGTGATAGAGAAAACTAATAATAATTTTGAATTCAGCATTAAAAAAGCATATGATCACACAAAAAAATCAGTTTTTACACTGTAGACCTGTGTTATTGTTAATTAAATACAGTAGAGTGTCGTTTATCTGAATTAATTGGAGACTGGGGTTGTTTGGATAACCAATTATGTACGAAAAAATATATTAACCTATCCCATGTTGAATTTTTTTTCCATTGAGTGTTGCTTCACATTGAATTTTTGTAGATGTTAAGCCTAACATAAAATTTAAAAATAATAATCGTGGTTATTGTATCGTTAAAAATTATTTCTTTATTTTGTACAAAGAAAATAAACATATTGAAAAATATAAAAACAAAAAACGTTATTTTGTGGAAGTTAATCTAGTGTCAAAAATGTTCGATTCAGCAGGACACAGTCCGACTGGAACTCTTTCGGTTGATCGGCTTTTGGATATACGACACTCTACTGTAATAATAATTAAAGCCAATAAATCTTCAAATTCTATGTTTTTTTAATTGTTTTAACATGTTCATTTAATATCATCATCAGCCCTGGGCTCATTGCCCATTGGTGTCTGATGCCTTTTCCACTATTTTTTTCCATTTCTCTTTATCCATTGCCAATTTTCTCAATTCCTGTACTTTTGCTCAACACCACTCCACATTATCAATCAATTCTCTATATGGTCTGCCTCTTGTTAAATCCACCCATAATACCATAGATTAGAATCTTAATTTTTCTGTTTTCTTTTATTCTTGTGTGCCCAAATAGTTGAAATATTTATTGTATAATTTTTTGTAAGAGATCCTTTTTCATATATATCCTATTATAAAGTTTTTTGTTTGGGACTTTCCTATTTGTAAGATCTTTCTGTAACAGTGTCTTTCAAATGCTAATATTTAGTATAAGTGTCAATAAAACCAGAATTTTCACTAATTTTAGCTTTACTTATTCTGCTTAATGTTATCAGTGTCAGTTATTAAAAGTATGACGAGTCGTACAGTGATTATGCAGATTCTGCAGTTTCCTAACAGTAAGTGACCCAGTTATTACTTAAAAATTAAAATAAAAAATTAATAGCATTTGCTTTTCAATAGATTTAGTTAATTTCAGGAATTAAGTTTACTTCTGCTTTTTACAAGCAAAAGTAAATTTTACTAAGATAACTACTTCCAACAATTTAACACCTCATTGAATAATAACGATCCACGAAAAAACCTTTTTTACGAGGGTTATTTTCACTATTAAGTTCCACAAGTACTTTCGACCTCCACCGAGGTCTGCTTCAGGTGGTGACTGTCGACCCGACCGTTGTAACGATGTTGCCAACGATGTAAATAAATAAACGTGCGCGTCGGGTTTCACCCCTCCGACCACCATTGCTCGACCTCCTCGAATAAATACTTCCACGCCTGTGCAAGTGTTTCCCTGTCCTTGTAGTTGATGCAGTTGCCCCCCCCTGCTAGCTTTGTGAATCTCCCAGGCCTCCAGGTGACGGATGTGATCCGTGCGGCACACGTGTCTGATAACTTTGGTGTTCCGGAAGTCCGCCCTTATTTCAGGGTCGGTGACATAGGTGGATAAGGCAGTGGTGTGTCTTTTATGCTTAATATCAGCATGGTGTTCGGGTATTCGTTTCTGTGTTGATCGGATGGTGGAGCCGATGTAAACTAAGTCTCTATTGAACCTGTCGTCCTGTATGGGAATGGAGTAAACACCTGGGGCCCTGGTGAGATCGATTGCGTCCTTCGCGTTGCGCAGCAAGTC